CACGCAGATAGCCAATTGATCCAGCATTATTATTGAAAACACCACTGCCTTTCCAGTGTGCTTGTGGGGTGATGGCATGTGCATGTCTGTATTTCTGGTTTAACCATGCTATTTCACAAGTCTGTTTATTTATCTTTGTCCCATTACAACATTGACTGACTGTATAAAGTCACTGTAACTTTATAGGTCTCAGTATTTCATAGAGTATGTCCTTTTCCTTCATTTTTCTTCAACATTGACTTGACTCTTCTTGATATTTCATAATTTCTCATGAAACTTATAAATAAGATTATTCAATTTCTGCACATAAAAAAACCTTCCTTAATTTCTGATTTAGATTTCATTGAACCTATAGATTAATTTGGAGAGATCTATGATCTTTACAAAACATTCATTCCATAAAATGTTATGCATGTTCCAGATTTTTAGAAATTTGCTTATTTGGTAAAATAGATTATCTACAGAGATTTTAATATTTTCAACATGCATAAGTGTGTTGTCAGTAAAAACTGAAATTTATTTTTTGAATTATTTTATTGAAGTATAGTTGATTCACAATGTTATATTAGTTTCAGGTGTACAACACAGTGATTCAATATTTTTGTAGATTATACATCATTTAAAGTTATAAAATATTGGCTGTATTCCCTGTTCTGTACAATATATCCTTGTAGCTTATTTATTCTACACATAGTAGTTTGCACTTATTAATTTCCTACCCCTATCTCACCCCTCCCCCCTTCCCTAATCCATCCTTTATTTAGAATGGTCTTAAATAAAGTTTACATGTGGCTAGAAGGGTGTATTGGTTACACCTTAATTGGCACAGAAAATGAAATTTCAGTCTTTAATGTTTGTAAACCATATACTTCAATTTTCAACCCTTTATTTTGACTTCCCACTTCAAAATGTGGAGATTAGTTTTCTTATTATTCCTTCTCATAATTCTTCTCCCGTACTAGCTCACACTTGTTGAGTGCCTATTTTATCTAGAATTCTACAAGTTATTATATGAGACATAAAGCATGTACATGACATAGTACCCACTCATGAGGCTGTTACAACCATTTAAGTCATCTCACTTAAAATAAATGACAGTTGGTATTAACCCCACCTCATCTTGATTTTTTACATTGATCTTCCTAGTGAGATTATGACGCTTTTTACTGTCATAATTGTCCAAGCCTGTTACATTAATCTATGCTTCATAGTAATCTCCTCTAATTGCCTGGGACAGAGAAAGATACTCTTGGTGGTAGGAAACTTTTGGAGGTAATGGATATGTTTGTAACATAGATTATGGTGATGGTTTCATTGGTAATACTTATTTCCAAGGTCATCAACTTGTATACATTACATAAGTGCAGCTTTTTATATGCCAGTCATAACTCAAAATGTTTAAAGATAAGACCCTCTTAATAGACTTCTTGTCACGTAGACATTTAGTGATGAGAGGAATAAGCAAGACTGCCGTCTTTCTTTGTACACTAATTGATTACGGGCATACAAGAAAATCCCTCGAATGAGGAGCCTTATGTCTTCACTGCTCTCTAGGACACCCCTTCACGCTTATATAATGAGATTAGTGAATAAGCATAGTGTGTAGCCATACTAGTACTTTTGAATGACCCATATGCATTTTCCAGCTCAATATATGCCTGCTTCAGAATTTACATTTGCCTAAACCTGATATTCTTCACAGGGATATATAATTTCCAGAATATTTTAATTACTAATCACTTCCAAAATATACTTCCATAAGTCCAAAAGTATGAATTAAAACTATATGTATCATCTATCTTAAGAGATTTATGTCATATCATCTGAGAATATGTTAGTTTTGTAGAAACCATGCTTTGGCCATGAGTGATCAAAGTCACATCACAGTTTGCAATATTTTGTATTTAAAAGCCATGGTGTTAATTATATTAAAATATTATTTAACTTGTGATGACTATATTGGTAAAGACATCTCTGTGTGGTGTATGGTGTAGGTCTTAAATGTCAAGTCATTCCTTCTTGTCATTCATCTAGGAAACAGGAGTATCTCTTCAAGCCCCAAAGTGAAATTAAGAAGAAACAATAGGTTAGAAGCAATGTGAGAAATTTGTAGGGTAGGGTTAATTAAATCAAATTATGTAAAAAGATGTCTAGGGGGGAAACGCTAAATAGTGGGTGTTGAGATAGTTACTTCCACATGGAACCATTTGGATCCTGGGCAGTAAGAAACACAGACAAATACGATTTTAATCATAAATTTGTAATCAGAGTAGATAGCTCAAGGTTATATGTAGACTAAGAGGACAGATTTAACCCAGTAAACAAGAAGCTACATCTTTTGTAGTCAGATGATACTTAGACTTCATGAAGTTGCACTTTCCATGAACTATTCTTGTTCTTCCTTGGGATTTACTATGAAGCTGAGATGAGGATGAACCTAAGGAACTGCGTTTTATACCAGGTTTGACTAAATTGTATTAAAGTGTAAGAGTCAACATGATAGGGCTTCCCTGGTGGCACAGTGGTTGAGAGTCCACCTGCCGATGCAGGGGACACGGGTTCGTGCCCCGGTCTGGGAAGATCCCACATGCCGCGGAGCGGCTGGGCCCGTGAGCCATGGCCGCTGAGCCTGCACGTCAGGAGCCTGTGCTCTGCAACGGGAGAGGCCACAACAGTGAGAGGCCCGCGTACCGCAAAAAAAAAAAAAAAAAGAGTCAACATGATAAAAGTAGAAAAGTTGAAGTGGGACAGATTCATCGGAAAGCTGAACTTGAGATTAGAGTCATGATTGTTAAATTAGAAATCTTTTACCATTTAATGGTTTCTTGCAGTGATGATGTGTTTTGATTTTTTGGGGCTTGTTTGCTTTTTATAGACGATGATGGTGGTGGATATAGATAAAAAGATGATAGGTGGAGAAACAGAGGGAGATTTGACTGAGAACTTCCGTGTCTAGGAGTATATGACAAGAAAATAATAAAAGATACACAAAAATATATGTATAAAATTTAATCAATGGCATTACAGTACATACAACCTAGTTAGAAGGTAATGTATTAAATCAGTTTAAATATTTGTATGCAATAAAATAGTATGTGAATGTTTAAAGTATATTGTATAGAAATATTTTGACATAGAAAATGTACATAATATTTAAATGAAAGAATAATATTTATATAATTTTAATTATATGAAAATGTAAGTAGAGTGAATAATGGAAAACTATATGTACAAGTTATTAGCAATGATCACTGTTGGCCATAGATTTCACATATGTATTATCTCTTAAGCCTTTTATTGAATGTTGTGTTTCTCTAAGACTTAGGAAAACTTGATGTCAAAATCTCATGAGGTAGATGCCACTTTGTTCACACAGCGAACCAGACTACTGAAACTTTATTAAGTGTAAAATTTCTAAGAGCCTATAATTAGCTAAATACAAAGAAAAACAAAAGTATAAACAAGATAATTTTGAATTCTAAATGTACTTTTGCCTAAAAAAACTACCATATAATATTGATATCATTTTCTTTAACGGTAATGTTATATTAGTGGTGTTTTCCAAAAGAAGTCAGTAAGGGTGTATTAGGATTAGGCAAGTGAAGTTGAGAATCCATTATCCCCTTAACAACTTAGGTACTCTCCCAAATTATATACGCTCTCTATTAAATGAAGATATTAGCAATTTGGCAACAATCCTGATAAAAATATTACTTTACGTCCAATAAATCCAGGTACTGCTTTGAAAATATGATTCTTCAGTAAGGAACCAAATATTTTTGGTGAAATAACTGATTCCAAGCTGAAGTGAGAAATCTACAAGATGGGTATGGATAATTTGTTAAGCCTGCAGGAAGAAAGTACTTTAAATTATGAATTAATAACTCTATAATGGAGAGAACTTGGAGACACCACGTTAACCAAGTAATCCACATTAGCATCACCTATATTGAGAGTAATTAACAGTATCTCTGTATTCATGAGAGGCTTTAAGATTAAGAAGGATATATTTTTTACTACCAAAAATTTATAATCTGAACTTAAAACATGGACAATCAATGGAAAACCCCAATTGAGAGACATTATACAAAACAAGAACTAATCCCTGTCAAAAATATCAGTGTCAAGGAAAGAAAGACTGAATAACGATTTCAGATTAGAGGAGGTAAGATATTTTATTGGATTTCAGTCTTGGACCAGAGGGGCTGAAAATGCTATGCCTAGAATAGTGAATCATGGTAATATCTCCTGATTTTGGTAATTATACTGAAAATAAAGTAGTGAATATCCTTGTTCTTGGAAATAATAAACAGTTTAGGGATAAGCTGGCCTTATGGTTGCACTTAACTCTTATGTGGTCCAGAGAAAATTAACAAAATATATACAGAGAAAAAGAAATGATAAAGCAAACATGAAAAAAATTGGTAAAGTGTATATACTAGTATTGTTTATAATTCCTGATACTTATCTGAAATTTTGAATTACTTTAGAATAAAAAGTAAGAAAAACAAAAAGGCAGAGAAATATTGAAGAAAAAAGTAAGTGAAGTAGGGACAAGCATAGAAGCCTACTCCGAATTCACTTCAGATAAATAACTCCAGTTTTCATTGTTATCCAGCTCTGACCTTTCCACCACACTTTAGTCCTTTACAGACTGTCGTTAAGAATGGAGGCGGGGGGGCTTCCCTGGTGGCGCAGTGGTTGAGAGTCCGCCTGCCAATGCAGGGGACACGGGTTTGAGCCCTGGTCCGGGAAGATCCCACATGCCGCGGAGCAACTAAGCCTGTGTGCCACAACTACTGAGCCTGCACCGTAGAGCCTGAAGCCCGTGCACCTGGAGCCCGTGCTCTGCAACAACAGAAGCCACCACAATGAGAAGCCCGTGCACCGCAATGATGAGTAGCCCCTGCTCACCGCAACGAGAGAAAAGCCCGCGCGCAGCAACGAGGACCCAACACAGCCATAAATAAATACATTTATATATAAAAAAAAAAAACAGAATGGAGGGGAACCAATCATGGGTCACAGAATTCATCCTGGTGGGATTCCAGCTCAGTGAAGACATAGAATTTTTCCTCTTCGTTATCTTCTTCCTATTTTATATCTTCAACCTGCTGGCAAATGGCATGATCTTGGGACTCATTTGCCTAGACCCCAGGCTGCACTCCCCCATGTACTCCTTCCTTTCTCATCTGGCCATCACTGACGTATCCTATGCTTCCAGCAATTTACCCAATATGCTGGAAAACCTAGTGAAACACAAAAAAACTATCTCCTGTTTCTCATGCACCAAGCAGATGGTTTTCTATTGGCTTTTGCTTCTGTAGAGCACCTGACTTTGGTGGTGATGTCCAGTGACAGGTATGTGGCGATCTGCCATTCCCTCCAGTACACTGTCATCATGAACTGGAGAGCGTGCACGTTCCTGGCCATCATTTGCTGGCCACATGGATTTTCCCTGGCCCTAGTACAAGAAAGTCTCTTTCTAAGGCTGCCCTTCTGTGGGCCCCAGAAGGTGAACCACTTCTTCTGTGAAATCTGATCTGTCCTCAAAGTGACCTGTGGTGAAACCTGGATCAATGAAATTTTCCTCTTTGCTGACAGTGTGTTTATCTTAACTGCGCCCCTTTCCCTGCTTCTGGTCTCCTATGTGCGCATCCTCTGGGCCATCCCGAAGATCCAGTCAAAGGAGGGCTGCAAGAAAGCCTCTTCCACCTGCTCCTCCCACCTCTGTGTGGTTGGGTTCTACTTTGGCATCGCCATGATGGTTTATATGGTCCCTGGCAATAGTCAGTGAGAGGAGCAGCTGAAGATCCATTTCGTGTTTTACACTGTCTTCAACCCATTGCTCAACCCCCTCATCTACAGTGTAAGGGATGCTCAAGTGAAGGCTGCTTTCCACAGAGTATTGCAGAAAAGTAGAACAATATGGCACAAGGCACAATTATAGTTTAGTGAATTTTTTCCCTAGAGCTCAAGAAAATTTTCCAACAAAATACATGACTTAAGGATGAGAATTATCTAAGAGTAACATCACAAAGATGAGAGACTAGGAATTCCCAAGCCCCCACTTCCTCCATGAAGATGACATAATATAGATCAAATTGCCTTTCTGAGAACACCAGAAACCACATAGGAGTTTGCAGCACCCCAGACTAGCACAAAGCCAAGAAGAGATAGAGTGAAGCTTTTAGGCAAATTTATGGCATTTATATTGCCATATCCACCTCGCCTCCCTGACCCACTGTGTTAGGATCTGGAGAAAATTCCCAACTCCCAGCTCTTTGTCAAGAGGGAAAGAGAAGAGTAGACCATGCCTACTACATTCTAGCTTTTCGGGTGGTGGTGGAGCCTGCGAGCATGATTTCTGTCATGCCTGACTCTGAGCCCTGATGGGAATGGGAATAATGGCAGTTTGGACTCCATGTTTCGACCACTGAGAAACATAGCAAGCACCCAACTTTTTACAGTAATACAGAGATTTTTGAATTTTTACAATTCTAATAGATGTGCAGTGGTATCTCATTCTTGTTTTAATAGAAAATTCCCTGATGACGTGATGTTGAGTATGTTTGCAAGTGCTTCCTTGCCACCTGTATATCTTTTTTGGTGAGGTATCTCTACATTTTTGCCCATTTTTATGTAATAAACTTTATTTTTTAGAGTAATTTTAGATTCACAGCAAAATTAAGTGGCAAGTACAGAGATAACCAATATACCCCCTGCTTCCACACATGCAAAACCTCCCCCATTATCACCATCTCCCCACAGAGTGGCACCTTCATTATCATTCATCCACCTGCATTGACACATCATCACCCGAAGTCCACACCTTACATAAGTTTTCACTCATGGTGTTGTATATTCTCTATGTTTGCACGAGTGTATAATTATGTGCATCCACCGTCATACTATCATAAAGAGTAGTATCACTGCCCTAAAAAATCACCTCTTCTTCCTCCCTCATTACTAATCCCTGGCAACCACTGATCTCTTAATTGCCTCCATAGTTTTGGTTTTTCAGAATGTCATATAGTTAGAATTATAAAGTGTGTAGTTTTTTCACATTGACTCCCTTCACTCAGTCGTATGGATTTAAGTTTCTTCTATGTCTTTTTTTATACACTTGATAGTTCATTTCTTTTTAGTGCAAAATAAGATTCTGTCGTCTTGATGCACCACAGTTTATCCATTTGCCAACTGACGGACCACTTGAGTGCTTTCAAATTTAGGCAATTATGAATTTAACTGCTTTAAACATCTCTGTACAGGTTTTTATGTAAACTTACGTTTTCAGATCCTTTGGATAAATACCTAGTAGTGCAATTGGTATATCATAGATTAGAGTATGTTTATTTTTTTAAGAAGTTGTCAAACTGCCTTTCAAGGTGGCTGTACCATTTTGCAATGAATGAAACTGAATTCCCCCCAGCAATATATGAAAGTTCCTGTTGATTCACATCCAAATCAGTGTGTGGTGTTGTAAATATTCTGAATTTAGCCATTCTACTAGGCATGTAGTGATATTTCATTGTTGTTTTAATTTGCATTTCCCTGATGACAAAGATATGTGGCATCTTTTCATATGCTTATTTGCCATCTGTCTATCTCCTTTGAATAGATGTCTGTTAGGGTTTTGGCTTTAAGCGTTCTTTGTATATTTTGGAATCAAGTCATTTTTCCTATATGAGGAAAGATTGTCTCCAGTATGTGTATTGACTTTTTATATTCTTACCAGTGCCTTTCACAGAGCAACAGTTTTTAAATTTAATTAAATACAATGTATCAACTTCATTTTTAGAGTTGTTGATTTTCAGTTCAGGGTTGTCATTTTGTATTTTGGAGGGGGGAAGAGTGGATACTTGTTCTAAATCTCTTATGTTTCACCCTGAGGCAAGACTTAACAGTGCATACTGAAAGCAGTAATCATATGAGTAAGGCTTACAAATAACTCTCCTACTCTAAAGCACAGGAGCTCGGTAGACTGAATGATGCGTTTACATCCCTTATTAACTTACACGAAATTAGTAGTTGAATCTACAGCTGGGAACAGAGAAAGGGTGAATAAATGGCCAATTAAAGGAAATTTCTGAGAGCCTGAATTTGCCTATATTTACTGGGAACTAAGTCCAAATGAGAAATAACAGATAAGGACTATATCCCAATTATCCAGTAGGAGAAAAAAAAAGAACCAAACAAAATTAAGTGTTTATTGCCAGTAGGTGCACTGCAAGAAACACTAAACAAAATATTTTTCCCACCTGAAAGAAACGCTCCCTGATGGTAATGGGCATAATTATTTTCTCTGAGATTTGAGAATACCTTCTCTTTGGTTTTCAGAAGTGTGACTCTAATATCCCCAAGCGATGTTTTGGTTACACTTATCCTGCCTCTGATTTGCTGAGTTGTCTGCATTCATGGGATCATAAATTTTATCATGCTGGGAAATACTCCAAAATAATTCCCTCAAAGTTTGCATTTGTGCCATTATAGTTTTTTAATTTTAGTTTTATTGAGATATAATTGACATACAGCTCTGTGATATAGAGCATAATGATTTGACTTACATACAAAGTGAATTTTTTTATCACAATAAGTTTAGTAAACATCCATCATCTCATAGAGATAAAAAATCGAAGAAACAGAAAAAAAATTTTTCCCTGTGATGGGAACTCCTAGAATTTACTCTCTAAACAACTTTCATATATACTATAGAGCAGTGTTAATTATATTTATTATATTGTACATTACATCCTTAGTACTTATTTATCCTAGAACCGGAAGTTTGTAACTTCTGACTGCCTTCACCCAATTCCCCCAGTCCCCACCAGCCCATATACGGTAACGACAAACCTGATCTCTTTTTCTATGAGTTTGGTTGGTTGGTTGTTTTTGAAGTATAATTGACCTATGACACTATGTTAGTTCCTGCTATACAACATAGAGACTTGATATTTCTATACATTTCAACATGTTCACCGGCCTAAGTCTAGTTATAATTTATCACTATACAAATATTATATTGTTATGACTAGATTCCCCACACTGTACATTTCATATCATGACCCATTTATTTTGCAACTGGAAGTTTGTACCTCTTAATCCCCTCCATCACTTATTTCTTTCCTCTTCCCTCCCTCCTTCCCCTCTGGCAGCCGCCTGTTTTTTCTCTGTATCTATATCTCTGTTTCTGTTTTATGTTTATTCATTCGTTTTGTTTTTAAAATTCCACATATAAATGAGAACATGCAATATTTGTCCTTCTCTCTCTGACTTATTTCACTTAGCATAATAGCTCTAGTTCCATCCATGTTGTCAAAAATGGCAAGGTTTCATTCTTTCTTATGGCTGAGTAATATCCATTGTGTATATATAGTATATCGCTTCTATCCATTCATCTCTTGATAGGCACTCAGGTTTCTTCCATATCTTGGCTATTGTAAATAATGATGCTATGAACGTTGGTGTGCATGTCTTTTCAAATCAGTGTTTTTCTTTTCTTTGGATAAACATCCAGAGGTGGAATTGCTGGATCATTTGGTAGTTCGATTTTTTTTTAACATCTTTATTGGAGTATAATTGCTTTACAATGGTGTGTTAGTTTCTGCTTTATAACAAAGTGAGTCAGCTATACATATACATATATCCCCATATCTCCTCCCTCTTGCGTCTCCCTCCCACCCTCCCTATCCCACCCCTCTAGGTGGTCACAAAGCACGGAGCTGATCTCCCTGTGCTATGTGGCTGCTTCGCACTAGCTAGCTATTTTACATTTGGTAGTGTATATATGTCCATGCCACTCTCTCACTTCATCCCAGCGTACCCTCCCCCCTACCCATGTCCTCAAGTCCATTCTCTATGTCTGCATCTTTATTCCTGCCCCTAGGTTCTTCAGAACTTTTTTTTTTTTAGATTCCATATATATGTGTTAGCATACGGTATTTATTTTTCTCTGACTTCACTCTGTATGACAGTCTCTAGGTCCATCCACCTCACTACAAATAACTCAATTTCATTTCTTTTTATGGCTGAGTAATATTCCATCGTATATATGTGCCACATCTTCTTTATCCATTCATCTGTCGATGGACACTTAGGTTGCTTCCATGTCCTGGCTATTGTAAATAGAGCTGCAATGAACATTGTGGTACATGACTCTTTTTGAATTATGGGTTTCTCAGGGTTTGTGCCCAGTAGTGGGATTGCTGGGTCGTATGGTAGTTCTATTTTTAGTTTTTTGAGGAACCTCCATACTGTTCTCCATAGTGGCTGTATCAGTCTACAAGAGTGTTCCCTTTTCTCCACACCCTCTCCAGCATTTATTATTTGTAGAGTTTTGATGATGGCATTCTGACTGGTGTGAGGTGATACCTCATTGTAGTTTTGATTTGCATTTCTCTAATGATTAGTGATGTTGAGCATCCTTTCATGGGTTTGTTGGCCATCTGTATATCTTCTTTGGAGAAATGTGTATTTAGACCTTCTGCCCATTTTTGGATTGGGTTGTTTGTTTTTTTTTGATATTGAGCTGCATGAGCCACTTATAAATTTTGGAGATTAATCCTTTGTCAGCTGCTTCATTTGCAAATATTTTCTCCCATTCTGAGGGTTGTCTTTTCATCTTGTTTATGGTTGGTAGTTCTATTTTCAATTTTTTGAGAAGTCTCCCCATTGTTTTCCAGAATGGATATACAAATTTACATTCCCACCAACAGCGCACAAGTGTTCCCTTTTCTCCACATCCTCACCAACACTTGTTATTTCTTGTCATTTTGATAATAGCCGTGCTAACACATTTGAGATGATCTCTCATTGTGGTTTTGATTTGCATTTCTCTGATGGTTAGTGATGTTGACCACCTTTTCATGTGCCTGTTGGCTGTCTGTATGTCTTCTTTGGAAAAAAGTCTATTCAGATCCTCTGCCTACTTTTTAATCAGGTTGTGTGATT